ACTCCAATTTAGTCCTCCCACATTAGCCAAACTACATTGAGGCTATGGTGTGAAATTAATGATTTTCCAGGACTCGAAAATGTGCCATTAATATGCATCCAACTCTCCTCTTCCCTGAGCTTAAGTTTCGCTGTCCTGACATTGCCTGCACGTTTCTACACCCAGTTGCATTTTCCAGCCCATGGGCAGCTCCACAATTAAATGCCACATTCACTCAGAGAAAGGTGTGCAAAACAGATTTCAGATCCTTTAAAGTAAAAGGCACAACTTGCAACACAAGGAATGGGGTGATTTAAGAAATTACAGCACTGTTTTTTTAAGCTTTCACAAAATGAACACAGAGAATGGGAGGGAAACTTTCCCCCTCTGCTCCTGTTCTTGAAGTGAATACATATTTGTGTTTCCAATAAAAGGCCATTTTTACATTAACTGTCTGTAACAGCAGGAGACAGAAAAACTAACACAATCTCTACATCACACACAGGATGATCTTCATATCACGTGGCCCTATTCTCAAAACTATTATTTATAAAAGACAAGTAGGAAAATGCACAATGCCTCTTTTCTGTGTCACTGAAAGGGTAGTGTCTGAAGAACTTTGGGATCTTTGGGATCTTCCACATTTAAAAAAATTTTTTTTCCTTTTTGGCTTTCTGAAGTAAATTTAGCATCCATGCGGGCCACTGTGTTTAATTAAGCTTTCAAAAGTCCTCTGACAATGCCAACAATTGTAAGACACTTCTGTGGCTCAATCATGCAATCACTGTGACAGTTCTATTTACAATTTGTCTTAGAGAGAGTTTCTCTGACATTGTACTTTGACAAAACATCCAAGCTGCCAGTTCACAACCTTTCTCGGTCTTATTTACAAATACAGCTTGTATACAGGACTCCCAAACTCATGAACATGAGTCTTTGGGTAGTGGCCTCACAAACACAGGCTCCCAATGAAAATCCTAGATATATATAAGGAAACAATATTCTCTATTCTCTGGATTCGGAAGGTAAGTAAAATGTTCACCAGTACATTGGGGTTTTTTTGTTTGTTGTTTTCTTTTTCAGCTGCCATGCTAAAAATTCACTTCAGAAGTCAGTAGTTTTTATTCACAATCACTTGAATAAAGAGAAATTAAAAATAAGTAGTCATACTAGGATACTACAATTTATAGTCTCATTTACAGTTACACCATGAAGTATACAAATACATCCCAAATCCAGTCTGAGCTAGAGAATTAGAATGAGTACAAAAGGAAAAGGCAAGTTGATTTTCTAGATTCTGAAAAGCATGTTATACTTGATTTACCTTTAAGTAACATGCTGATGTATTTGTTTTGAATTAGTATTTCTCCCTCCCATTAGAGTAACTGTCTTACATATTTTTATCCAGTGATGAGGTATATTGCCTAAGCAAATATTTTGAAATATCTGATATAAAGGCCTATGTTCATAATTTTAAGGAGAAAAAAATAATATTTATCAATGGCAGTAGACTTGACTACATTTTATAGCACTGGTCATATTTTCTCCCATTCTCTTAAAAAGCTAACTTCATGACAGCCCAACCCTAATTTGAAGATTTCGTGTGTAAGAAGCCAAAACCTCAAATCTGACACTGTGGGATTATATTTTTGGCCTTTTCTATAAGTGAACAGCAGTTTCCCATTCACTAGTCTTTGATGAGTATTTCCCCCATCATAAAACAGGAGACTAGAAAACACAACAACACCCCTATTAAAAGCCCTGACTGCCAGTCACACACAGGCTGCTCATACCTCGTGGTGAGTATCTGAAACACAAATACATGCACTGGACCCCACGCAATATAACCTGCTCATTTCCAGTTAAGTGAATACTATTTCAATGGTCTCAATGGATCACAGTCACGCAATATTTTTAATTTTGAATGAAATGAAAAACCAAACTGATTAACGTCAATGTGTTAACAGACGTACATGGGTGAAGTGCTGGAGCACAGACCCATCTATTCGCCAGGTAAAAACCATCCTTTCCTAAAAAAAAAAAAAAATACTGATCTTGGAGAAGCCTGTGTACAGTCAAAATGCATATCACTTTACTAAGGATTTAAAGAACTCTACTTTATTCTCCTATCTGAAAGCCCCAAATTCTAAGCTTTATTTATCTCAGGAAAATCTGTCATTGTTTTATTCCTGCTTCCTGCCTATAAAATGGCACAGAGCACACTGAGCTCAAATCCAACTTACATCACTTTAATAAAGCTTATCCTACACAGCGCACTTAAATGACTACCTTTTATGTGGTTGCCAAACATATTCTTCTAGAGATTCATCAATAGATCTCTCTCCTAATATGGAGTATTGCTTCTCCTTTCTTTTTGTGACACAATTCAAATATCTACTGAATGATTATTCTTCTTGTTTCCTTCCTCACCATAAAAAGAAAAGCAGACTTGGAACTGGGAAGACGTGGGCTGGAGAGAAATGGGCTAGTTGTGCACAGCCGTCTTCCAGAACTTCCGTTCAGAGGCACCTGAGGGCCAGGGCATCTTAATTTATGTGCAATGGTAGAATGTTAATTTCACCATAGGAAACTCTTAATTCATTACTGTGAATTATGAGAAGTCGTGATTCTAGTTACTGACATCTCGCTTTGAGATGTGACCACGCTATTTATGTTCAGCCAATTCCAGGGTGGGAACAGGTGATTAAACACAATGAAAGGAATCAAGACTTTGTAATTATTTGTGCATGAAAGGTTTACCTCACCTGGGTTGCAGCGCTGGTGCACCCATTGAATATCTTAGATACCTTACACTGCTTTTCATCTCAGTGAAATTATTTAGTATTAGCACTCTAAAACATATTTTAAATTTGCTTTCTTTTCCTTTTGCTTTCTTTTGTGTTTGTGTTTGTTTTTGTTTTTGGCAGGGCGGGGTGCTTCTCTGGGCTCTGCTATTGTACCAGGTTTTAAGAAAAAAAAAAACCTTTATGACAACCAGAAATTAAAGAAAATATCTTCTTTCCTTACGTAGATTCACAACTATCACAGTAAAAAGCTTTCACTACAGTGCCTTCCCCCCAGCTTTTAGATTCCTCTTCTAAGTACAGAAGCACAGAATTTTGGAGCTGGTTAATCTGAGAGTGAATAACCTATTTGGGACCTCAGTAAGAAGTGTGGTTTTAATTCCTGCTTGACAGACACTGTGTTTTGTCTTTTAAACGAGCAGCTCGATATGTAAATATGATGTTACATCACGCAAGTGTTACTCCATATTTGGTGATTTAGAAAGGCTTTGGATCTCCGAAGTCGACAAATCCCCTTCTGCCGGCTCTTGCTTCATTAATCATGCCTTACGTTTTCCTTCCAGTCACAAGACAGCACATGGAAATGGTCATTGCCATATCCTACTGGGGGGGTAGGGGGAGCGAGGGTATAAAATCTTAACCTACATGTCACTTAAGCTAAATGTGGTGGAGTCTAGAAAAATATTTTGTAAATGCAGCTCCTCTGGTACAGATTTCTCGTTTCACTAAATGAAAAGTATCTGAGTGTTATTGCAGGAAACATTAAAATAAAAAAGAAGAAGAAAGAAAGAAAGAAAATGCCACGTTTCATTTTAATGATCAAATTCCAGAGGGGAAAAGGAGAAATAATACGACATTTAATCCCCTCTGGACCACTGACCTACTACAGTTCAACTCTATGGTCAAACTAGGTCAGAAAGACAAGTTTCAGTGAATCAATTGATTATATGCACTCTTTCCTAAAACTGAACAAACCTTCTGCCTTTTAGGGAAGGGGGCAGGGGGAAACAGAAGAAAGGGGTCCACCAACAGCCTTGGTATTTTTGTCACCACAGACTCTGCACTCACTCTGTCTTGTGTGCTAAGTCACTGTTGTTTCACAAAAACACATTTTAAGGGTCACTATATAGGGCTGCTGTTTATCGCTTAGAGTAGGGATTTAAGTCCCTCTGTTAGCCAGCTAATTCCTTTTCCCCGTGAGCTGCTGAGAAACCCACACACCTAGCTACCTCTCTGCTAAAATTAACCGAAAGAAGGAGAGCTGTTGAATATGGGTATGTGTTTTTCCAATAGAATTTTTACGTTGTGTTATAGCAGAAACAGGGGAAGTCTGGACTGGACATTTGTAAGGGTGACATGTGGTTGTGTAAACCACAAACAAAATCAAGATACATCTGTCAAAACCACATCAGAGACAAGAGGGAGCACAGAGAAGCATTTATCATTTAGCTGAGGAGGCAGGCTGCAGGGAGCAGCCGTTCCTGTCAAACCAACCTTTTGAAATTTCCAACATGCCCTTAAACTTTTCGAGTAAGCATGTCTGTGCGCTTCAGCAACTGCCCTCTCTACTCTGGCCTGGCCAGTCGAAAATGGCATCTTAAAGTCAAGGTCACAGTGTCATCCCACCACGGGGCTGTGTTTAATTACAGCCCCATACGGGCTGACAGCCAATATGGATCCAAGGCTAGCCCTGAAGCTCAGTTAACTCTTTCTAGCCACTCCAAAACATCCTGCCAGCCCACCCCACTTCATGGAAGCCTTGAGAACTAACTGTAACCCTAGGGAGGTCTGACCAGGTATTCAGACTCAAAGAGGTCATCGGCCGAACCACCAAATGCCTGTATGGCCACTTTTGCCTCTGACTTGTCACCATGACTGGAAATGGACGGTGGAAACTGGGCCACGTAGAGTAAGGTTCAACGCTTAAAAATAAGAAGGTGAGAAAAAAAAGAAAAGAAATTCAGTATCAGTAGATCCAGAGAGAGGGCATCAGGTGTGTACCACCCTACATCTGACTCAGTGAAGTGGAAAATATTTATTTTTTTGTGTTCTGGATGTAAGCAATAGGAATGATTATTTTAAACATTACAGGGCTGTCAGGGACAGTCACATGGAGAAATACAGAAAGCACTTCACCACTCCTTAGTGCTTGGCTACAGCACCTCTGAAAATGAAAAGAAAACATGCAAACAGCTTTTCTCCTTGCTTCTCATTTACCTGCTATGTGTTCCTGTTTGGGGCAAATTCCTCTAGATGACGTTGATAAACAATCGTCATCCTCTGGCGTGACCTGGATGCCAACCTCCACGGGATTGGATGCTTTTTTCATCTCGATTGGTGAAGGGGAAGGTGGCTTATCCACAGCTTTTTCTAAGCAGAGGCTGCCATTGCATTGTTTCCGTTTGTGCTCGATAAAAATAAGAATGTCCCCCAATGGGAAGTTCATCTGGCACTGCCCACACGTGAGGAGGTCATGGTCCCCTTCTGGAGCTCCCAAAGGGCCGTGGTCTGGTTCATCATCTGTAAGAATGGCTTCAAGAGGTTCGGCTGTGGTTGGAGAAACAAAAGCACAATTATTAGAGCGCCAGAGAAGAGAGAAAAGGGGGAAATACATTCTCAACCCCATCCCATCCCACCACATTATATAAAGTGTTTCTAGGCTCCTTCATATAATACCCAGAAAACATGAGCACCTAAAACATGTAAGGATGTGAAGATGATCAACAAGAAAGCAAATTTATCAATGAGGCAAATCATCATATATTTAAAGAAAACTCTCTGACTTGCCTAACTCCTGAGAACACACACACACACACACACACTATAAACTGTGTTTGGTTTGCGAGTTTAGAAACAATGTTGACTGTTAAATAAATCCTCACGCAGGGAATATAAAGAAAGCTTAAATAATAACTACCCCCCAAACTGGTAAAAACATGTACTGAAACCAAATTTGTTTCTTTTTTCCTATAGACTAAGTTGTCCATTGTGCCAAAGAATAAAAGAGAGGTGAATAAACACACACACCCTTTGTGTGTGAATGTATATACTCCTAAGTATACAGAGACATAGCTTCATAAATTAGAAAGCTACTATATCACACAGAAAATGTGCCACATTTACACCGTCATAATAAGAAAACGACTGCATTCACCTGTGAAACGGATCTAAATAATAATCATAACGCAGCATAATTCATACTGCCAAAAACCTTTCTGATCTCACTCTCAGCAGTGCCACAAAATCAAAGAAATACCAAATTCACTGACAATTCTTCTCAGACACATTAGCTAAATGGGATACTTTTGAGTACTTAAGAAAATAAGCCAATTAGTCATTTTTTCATTCTGAAGAAAGGAATGCCTAAAATATTCTAAACATGTTTGCACTTGGTGGCCTCCATCACATAAAAATCAGAATGGTCAAGCAAACGCCACATTTCAGAACAAGGCTGAGAAGTCCTTTCTTTAGACTTGAAATACTTCGCCTAATGTTGTCAAAGTTGACTAATTTTCTGAATGAGCTCCAAAACGCTTCATTATGGGACTATTTCTACACACATAATCACCAGTGGATGGTATAACAAGGTAGATATGTCTTTCATTCCTGTTTCCTTTTTTTTTTTAACTTTGCACCAAAATACTCCAGCATCTCATTTGAACAGCTTCTATCATTTTTTAACCTTCCAAAGGGGAAAAGAGAGTTGGTTAAGTCTCTGCTTCTGAAACCGTATGCTTACTCTATCAAAAAAAATCACAAAATACAAAACACATCCAGGATGCTGCCAGTTAATAAAACTGAAGCAGAAAATGTACAAGTCTTAAACAGTTAATCAGTCTGACCTTCTTTAGCAAGCTGCCAATTTCACATTTAATGAACTTAAAGCCACAGAGAATCAAAAAATAGATTTTAATTTGAGTGTAGAATATTGGAACCGATTTTGATAAAGTGCAAAAATCCAGTGAACTCAGGTTAAATTTATTTCAACCCTACCCAGGCTGAATATTGAGGGGGAAGATCTGGAGTAACTCCCAGATGTGCTGGGTGAAATAATATTGAGAGAGCCCTGCCTAGCTGCACCTGTGCTCAAGTAGGACATGTCATAATTTCTAGCCTCTGGTACTCCTCCTAATTTAACATAAGGTCACCACAGGAATATGAAGGTTATATTCCCACTAATAAAGGCAGCAAGGTAAGCACTTATGTTTCTTTGCCCAACATACTGACCAAAAGACAAATACAGAATACACATGCACGCTTTTTAAATAAAAGGAGATAAACGGAAGTGCTTTTGCATTATGCCTCTATGTCATTTTTCTCCTACATTTGCTTTCATTTTGACCAAGTGAGGAACTGAATAGGGAAGTCATCCCCAAGATCACTGATATTTGAATTAAGGATTTTTAAGGACACATTGACAAATGTGGCTTTTTGTTGTTGTTCAGCATTAACTACAAGTTCTGAGGTTCAGAGATTAAAGAAAGACTCTTTGCTTTATTAAAGTTAGTACTACGTAGAACCTTTCCAAAAAAAAAAAACATTTTTTTAAACTCCACCATTAAGATTCTTTTTTTTTTTTTATCCCCAAGGCCTGACATATTTCTGAATATGGAAATATTATTTAGGAACAAAAGGAAACATTCTCCTAGGTATCAAATAGTTAAAGGTAATGCGGTGCAAACAGACTTGGTTAAAGTCTTCTAAATGTAGTGACTGAACTGATTTACAATCAAAACCAGGAAATGAAGTGGTAATTCAGAGGTTGCTGATTACACCTCCACATTTCACCTAATTAATTTTATAGGAGGCAAAGTTCTTGAAAATAACAAGATGATCAAATGTACAGATATAAAACCTGTAACCTCAACATTTTCTATGCTCTTAACGTAAATTATTGCTAATTAACAAGAATTATATCCTAATGTATGAAATACGTCTAACATCGGGCTTCTTGCAAAACATTTGGCTAGTAATGTTCAGAGAAATATCAAAACGTGTTCTTATTATTGCTGCTATATTATTAAAAATAAGACGAAGTGAGGCACAAAGAAAATATGAAAATACCATTCTCTTGGTGTAGTCTACTGATTTGCATTGACATCTTTTCTCAGTGGTAATCAACATTTCCTTTCTGGGCATCTGATAATTTCTCTGTATTTTAATGCAAATTCCTCTTTCCCTAAAAACATTCCTAACCTCAGCCATTTTACCCCCTCCCTCAATTCAACTCCATCCTCTTTCGCCCCCACAATACCATCCTTTCTAAGCTCTGGCCTAAACCTCCCGCTACAAAGCGGGGAGTCCAGGATTGAAGTGGAAGGGAGTGGGCAAATAATCATAATAATTAGCCGCGAATTCTCTACAAGAGGAGAAAGAAATAGGAAATAAAATGCTTCTGCGTTGAAACAGCAAAACAGACTGGAACGTCTCAATGCCCCAGCGGCTGACTGAGATCTCCTTCCTCTCTGCAGTTGCAAAGGAATAAATTTAAAGAAAAAAAAAAAGCTTTAGAAGAAATGTAGGGAAGGAGCGAGGGAAACGAGGGCTGCTGGGGAAGGGGGAGGGGAAAAGGAGCTATGCCTTCAAGTTTGCTTTCCAAGTCCTTCCTTTTGATTGTCTTAACAGGGTAAGGAAGCACACCAAGTCTGAAATGCGGAGAGGAAAAGCAAAGAAACAAAAGCGAAGGCTAGGGCGACAGGCCCGGGACAGGGGGCCCAGCGGGGGCGGGCTTTGCCGAAAGTGAAGTTGGGCGCCGGGACTCTGAGGCACAAAGCAAGCAGCTTGCTGGCTGCAGCCTCCGGCCGCGCTGGCTGCAAACACGTGCAGCGGCGGCTGCCGGGCCGTGGGGCCCGGGCCAGGCCGGGAGGCGACGGGCAGCCAGGGGCCCCTACTGCCGCCTCCACCGCCGTCCAGCCCGGCCTCAGGGTGACCACCGTTCCCTGGCCCCGCCAGTTGGAGAAATGGGAAGTGAGGCTTGGAAAACTCGGCTGGTTAACCTGGTGCAGTATCGGTATCACCACACACACACATCTCAAGCGCGGGCCCCGAAATTCATTCTGTGTCCCCAGGCTTACACTTTTTACTTTGGGGGAATCTCTGCAAATGCATTTCTCCCGCAATTCCGGGCACGAGTGTGCGCAGCGCGGCGGCGGTGGCTGCTGCGGTTATTCATTATTAATGATGCTGCTAGCCCGCATCATTATGATGATAACTATTACTATTGTTGTGATTTCGGGCTCCGAGGCGAGAGCTGCAGGAGGCGGGGGAGCCAGAGGTCGGGCTGCAGAGACGCCGTGCAAGCCCACCGTAGCCGCCGTTGTCCGTCCTTTGCGCGGGGGTGTGGGGTAAAAGAAGTGAACCGGGAGACTAAATGCAAACTTGCTGGATACCGCCCTTTGGCCTTGCCTCGAAAGCTGAAAGTGCGTACTCCCCTTTTCCCCCCTACCAAAAATGCCCGCCCCGAAAGAAAGCGAAAACTGCACCCCACTCAGCGCCCGGCGCACCCGGTTGTCCACCGCGCTCCCGAGCGCTTCTCCGCAGCCCTGGCCAGGAGCATTTTTAAAGTCAAAATGAAGAACAAAGACATAAGGGGTGATGGGGGGAGAAAGGGAATTCTGCCTAACCGTCCGTTTCCCCCACCCCCACCCTCGCAAAGCTCGTCCCTCCCGGGCCGAGAAACGCAGAGCAGGGAGTGGGGGAGGCTCTGGTACAGGTTCAAGTTCGCTGAGCTTTCTTGATCTTGTTCTGCCTCCTAGCGACCGAATGGCTCAGTCAGCCCAAGAAGCGGAGGATTGGGGGGGAGGGGGGGGTCTTGAAGACCGGAATGGCTCCCGCCCCCTCTGCGCACCCAGAGAATGAGAAAGAAGCGGCCCCCGCACCCCCTCCATACTAGTCCCTTAACCCAAAGACCGCACTGAGACAAGGCTAGAGGCCGGCTAAACCCACCCAGCCTGGAGGGTCCCGAGATGGACCCGCGGGTGGGTGGGGGACAGGGGAGCAGCCCGGACTGCACGCCTCAGTCGGTCCTTTGAGCCCCCAGTGCATCCTTCCGAAGAAGGGCCGGGCTTTCCCGAGTCCTGCGAACACTGCCCTTCCTTCCCGCCGGTACCTGGCCGGGCTGTAACTTCACACCGCCGCGCGCCGCGTCTGCTCCGCATCCGGCGCGGCCGGGGGAGTGGGGGGCGGGGGAGAGCGACGAGGGAGGGATGCGCGGGGGTGGGGAGAGGGAGGGCCCCGCAACGTGCCGGGGCGGGGGAGCTTCCGAAGTGTGTGACAAGTTCCAGGGCCTAGTGAAAAATTCAACTCCCTATGCGCACCCCCCAACCCTTTAATAAATACAAAATTGGGTATAGGTGGTGTTTTTAAATTGCATCAGAAATTAAAGTAAGGGTCACGAAGGAGGAGGGGAAGGGATGTGGGCCCTCTCACGCCTTTCTTTCCCCGGCTGCCAAACTTTCCTAAGTGCCCACCGCCCGCCTTTCCAGACGCACTCTGTTAGCCAGGACCCAGTAACCCACCCGCCACCCCATAAAGACTCAAAAGGACCACCGCCATCCCCTCACCGCTGACCAAGACAGGCCCGGGTTAGAGAGTAGGAACTCAAGGGTGGGGTGCACGGAGTACCGGGATCCAGCACTCCCCAAACACACACTCGCACATACTACTATGCCCACCTCCCACCCCCCCCCATCTCACCCCCCCACACCTGGTCTGGCAGCGCTCGGGAGGCGGGGGCTAGTGGCCAGACCCAGTGGGAGGGGGGCAAGGAAAGCACGTGGTGACCTCCCCGCGGTCCGGAGCAGTGGACAAGAACGTCCGGGGGCGGGGGGAGGGGGCGGCAGACGCGCTTTTTCAATTGCTTTGAAAAATAAAAATGCTTCGCAAAGCTGAGTTTCTCCCCAGCCGATTTCGCAGTCTGGTGGGCTCGGAGAAGGTCTAGGCATTGTGCTGGGGGCGAGAGTGCACTGTGGACCCGGCTGGCGCGGAGTCGCCGCTCGGCCTGCCGCTGTGCGGGCGGGCAGACGGCTGGCGCGGGGTGGGCGATCTCGAGCAGGGCGGGGGCGCGGCGAGGCCCGGCGAGGCCCGGGCGAGGCCCGACCGCCGCCGCCGCCCGCTCCCGGGCTGCCGCGCGGCGCTCGGTCCTCTGTCTGTTTGTTGGCAGGAGGCTCCCGCACACGCGGTGCTTGTAAACATTCAGACACGAGATTTTTCCCAATCAAAATCCACTTCCACTTTTTTTGAAAATCTTCCAAAAAATAGTAAGAGGAGGGAGTTCCTCGCTCCCTCTCCACGCCGCCGGCGCTCTAAGTTTGCAATCAAAGGGGTTTTGGGGAAGGGGGTAATTGTATTTTTCCCCCTCTAATAAAGATTGAGATTTTTTAAGGGGGGGTGGGGGAGTCAGAGGAGAGCGTTGCAGAAAACGGCTGGCTGAGCGTTTGGCTTCTGTTTGGGGGCAAGAAATTTTACATCCTCTTGCCTTGTTTTATTTTTGTTTTTATTTTTATTTTATTTTTCACGTCTTTTCGCCGCCACTGAGGTTTGTCTGGGATGTGCGGGCAGCGGGAACCCAGGCGGCTGCGGCCCGAGCGCCCTCCCTCCATCTCCCGCTCGCCCTGGGCCCTTGCTCCTGCACTTCGGCGGCGGAGGCGCGGAAGGGCAAGCGCGAGGAGCCGGCACAAAAGGCAGCGGGACAAACACCCACCTCGGGCCGGAACAAAAGGCGGCAGCGCCGGCCGAGACTCCCGTCCTTCCCGGTCGCCAAGCTCTCCCAGCCGCCGCGGCCCCTCTCCACACTCGGCAGACTCCAGAGCGCCGGGGGGCCCCCTCCCACAATCCCACTTTCTCACTATTGTGGAGATGACTACTTTCCTCCTGATGGCACACTTGACCGTGAGCGCGCTGCTATCCGAGGGCCAGTCTCACCTCTTTTCTCCCAGGGATTTGTTTTTTTGGCTTGGGCTCCCTCCTCCCGCCCCGTTTTCCTTCCTTCGGTGAGTGGAAGCAACCCCCCTTTTCCCCTCCAGCTCCCTCCTCTAGGTTTGCAAGAGAGTTGTTCGCATCCATAGCATTGTTCATTATTTTGCAAAATTGAAGGGGAAATCATTGCATTCCTTTTCGAAAAGCGAAATAAAGCAGCGGAAAGCATGAAAGAGGAGGAGTCAAATTTTTGTAAATTAAATAAAAATTAAAAGGTGCGTGCTATCCCAAAAGTGTACGTACGGCTGTGGTTCGGGATAGGATGAGGTTTGTTTTTTGTTTGTTTGTTTGTTTTTCTCCCTTTAAGCTCTTTTACCCCGACTCTCGGAGGTTCATCTCGTGAAAAAATTAAAAAATGCATGCACACACCCCTCTCTCCCCCTCGCTCTTACTTCTCGTCCTGCGCGCTCTCGTGATTATTAATAATTATTATTACTATTATTGGGTTACTTACGCGAGAATTCCCGTTTGCTTAAGTGCTGGGGTTTGCCTTGCTTGCGGCGAGACATGGTGGGCTGCGGGGCGGGCGGCGGCGGCGGCGGCGGCGGCGGCGGGCGGACGACGGCTCGGTTCACATCGGGAGAGCCGGGTTAGAAAGAAGGAGACTCCAGAGAAAATATCTTCATCAGTGCCTTTTGACATCCAAAATAAATTAGAAATAATACAAAGATGGCGCAGGGAAGATGAATTGTGGGAGAGCCGTCATGGCTTTTTTTTTTTTTAAAAAAAAAAAAAAAAAAGGAGAGAGAGAGAGAGAGAGGAGAGAGATAGAGGGAGAGAGAGAGAGAGAGAGATGAAAAAAATGGCAAAAGCCCCCCTGAGCTGCAAGTTCAAGTGCGGACGTGACGTCCCTGCGAACTTGAACGTCAGGAGTCTGGATGGACAGAGACACACAAAACATGGGCAGGGCGAGCAGGAGAGAAGGGGAGGAGGGAAGGGGAAGCTCACACCAATGGACACACATCAGGGGCTGGACATGAAAAAGAGACCAGGACAAGCCAATGGCCAGTGCGGGGCGGGGGAGGTGCGGGGCGGGGGGCTCCGCAGACGCCAGACGCGGCCCCCGGGGGAGGGGCGGGCGGAGGGGAGGGGGCGCTGGGGCCGCGGGCTCACCAGTGGCCGCAGCTAGCGCCGCGGCGGCAGCGTGGCCGGGAGAGAAGAAAGGGGCGGCGGGGTTGGGGGGGAGCAGGGTGGGGGGAGCGAGACGTGCGCCCTGCTCCCCCCCGGACGCGGACCCCAAAATGAAAGATTACTTAAAAAAAAAAAAAGGCAAGAGTGTACGGCGAGGCTGCAGCCTGGGTCCCGGGAAGCGCGGGCGGAGGGAAGCCAGGTAGAGTTGCTCCCGGACACCCTCCTCTGTGCGCACACCCACTTCCCCTCACCGCCGCGCGGCTGCCGCGCTCGCTCCCCGTGTGCGGACGCCCAGGGCTGCAGTAAAAGCCCTGAGCTCGGGGCTGCGCTCGGGAAACTTTGCCTGAGGAGAGGATAGCAAAGAAAAATCACCCGAAGTTGAGAGCTGAGCCTCCAAGTTACAGCTCCGCAGCGGGCGAGGGAAGGCAGGAGGAAGCGCGCAGCAAAACGGAGTCCAGCCCAAGTTTGGAGGGTTGCGGGTCCGGAAAGGCAGCTCCAGGGCCTCTAGGTGCCTGGGCAGCCTGGAGAGAGGGCGCAAGGGCGAGAGAGGCGGCGCAGGCCCGGGCTGGAGGGCACCCCCAAGGCCGAGCCGAGGGCGAGGCCGGGGGAAAGCTGGGATCTGAGCGCCCTGACAAGTGACTGGGTCTGAATGAAACTGGGAGCACGGACTTGAGGCTCCCAAGGGTCGAAAATAGAAAGGACAAGGAATAAAGAATGAGGAGCCAGACTCGGGGCACGTTCCAGCCCCCAGAGGGGAGCGCCGCGGCCCGGGGCTAGGAAGGCGCCGAGGCGTCCACCTCACCGAGCGGCCGCGGGCCAGAGGACAAAGCAGGGGTAGTCCCGAGAGTTCCAGTTCCTGGGAACGTGCTCCGGCGCCGCGGGAGGTCCTCGGGCCGGGTCCCAGGGATGGACACACCCCCTCCCACTCAAGAGCAACTGCTAAAGCATAGAGGAATGGAAAGAAAAATGTTTCTTACAGGCAGGGCACAACTATGCCTGTGCTGTTACCCGGGGAAAGAAAATGGGGAATGGAGAGAGAGCGACTGGCTCGCAGGAGCGGCGGGGAGACCACGGTGGTGGGGTGACCGCCCTGGGTCAACGCCGTGCTGCTCAGACGCCCAGAGCCAAGGCGCACACCCTGGAGCCTGCAGGCCCCTCCGGCCTTTCTACAGACGTTCCCGGGAAATTAAAGACCTGTTGGAAATAAACCCCTGTCTCTTTAATGCACACACGCGCTCGCGCGCGCACACACACACACACACACACACCCGCGCGCGCGCGCGCGCGTGCTGCCGCTGTCAAAAAGCGGGCTTCACTCTGGCGTGGGATACTTTCAGTTTTACGTAAAATGTACAGCAACAGCACCCCCTGCGATTGGAAAGTTTATTCAGAAACGTGTCTGCAAAGTCCCCCGGCGTCTCCCGCCTCCCAGCCTCCCCGCCTGCCTGCGCCACCCTGTAGCCTCAGCCGCCGCCGCCTAGACCGCGCTGCGATTCCAAATCAGGAAGGGGGGGGGGGGGGGAGGCAAACGGACTCAAGTCTAAAGGAGACGCGGAGGGTGCAGGGTGGAGGCGGGTCGCTGCGGCCCGCGAGACTCCGAGCTGCAGGTGGACGTGTGTGAGTGTGTGTCTGCAGAACGAGGAGCCTTCCTTCCCTCTCCTCCAAGCGGCTCCACAACCCCTCGCGTCTTCTCTTTCCCCCTCCTCAGTCTAAAGGACGTCGTTTCCGTAAATTCACCCACCCGGCTGGGGGCTTTATTGCTTTAAGCTGAAGCCCCTGGCTTGCAAGCGCACACCCACCTCCCTGCGGTGCCGGCAAGCGGCTGTTTATTCTCGTGTTGTCTTAGTAAAGTTTCAAACCTATTAGAAAATGACTGGCTTGCCCGGCTCCGCGAAGCTTCGGGCCCCACTAAGGAAGAAAGAGAGGTTTTTGATGCTCAACATTAGGAGAGATGTGTGCTGAACTGGGTTTGTGTAAATGTGTTTTGTTGTTATTGTTTCTCTCCAGTTTGGGGGGGGCACTCAAATCCTGTTTAAGAAGCAGGAAGAGTCACTTGCAGTAAAGCTCTGTAGTGTGTGCGTTACACCATTTCCCCTTTTTCATGAGTTCTTCAGAGCAGGTCGGCATCTCCCACTACTGTCTTTTTTCTTCTTCTTCTTCCTCTTCTTCTTGTCCTTCCTCCTCCTCCCCTTCTTGTTCTTCGTCGTCGTCCATTTAAACTAGCTTTAGAACGACCAAAAGAGTGTCATTGCACGGGAGGGGGGCTGCGTGGAGAAGAATGGTTGGAGGGAAGGTGAGGAGAGAAAGAATAAAGTGCAACTGGGAGGTTTTTGAAAAATAAATAAAATAACAGCCTCTTCAGGTAACAATAGTGAATCAGATTCTTTCGGAACCGAGTTTTTCAAATTTAAGTATTTCCCCCATCCATCCATAAAAGTCCATATATAGGGAAGGCATATACATGGGCGAATGTGTGTTATGGAAATATATATGTATGATTTATATATAATGGTGTGTATAAAGCTTTTCAGGGTTGGCTGTAGTGTAAAAAGTAATGACTTTATTACCTCTGAAAGGTTCTGTGGTTCACATTTAACAGTCTTCTGAATTACAATTCATTACACAATTGTGTGCTCTCTAAAACCGGCACCCTATCAGGGCCGCTATCTGTGGTTATTTCCAATAAGTAACTGGCAACATTTTATTGATTTTCTTTAAAAAAAAATCATAGGAAATTAAGCACTTAGTTACAAGTAGGTCTGCTATGTTATTGCACTTGTTTCAGATTCCAGGGGGTTCCTTCCGAAACCACATCTTAAAACATACCTTAAAAACCCAGTTTTGCAGCTGCTTTCCCTGGGTGCCAATGGAGAAGTAAGCAGCGACGTTTCCACCATTAACATATATTTAATTTCACCACCATAAAATGCCCAGAGTGAAATAGGAACTGCCCTCCGCTCCCGCCCCTCCCCCAGCCTGATTTCACCCAGTCCAGAGAACCTGGGCTGTGTATTGGCATCTGATCCCTCCTCGTCGCAGACCCCCACTGCCGGTCCCTCGTGCTCGCCCCTAGGAGTGACGCCCCCTCCCTCATTCCTGCTGGATGCTCGCTAAAGCGCTCAAAAGTGGGGGGAGGGGAAGGTTGTACGTGTGTTTAAAGAAAGAAAAATGTGTTGTTTTAAAAGGCTTAAAAATATTACATAAGTACTGATTAATGATGCAGGTGCTTTTGTAGAGGGGTGAAAGGTCACCTTAAACGCGCACACTTGGATACACAATAAGTATATTTACCTTTCCCAAAGTGGCTTTTAGAAAGTAATAAATTATGACAACGTTAAAATTATTTTCTGGCCGTTCAGTTAACTTAATTTGGAGCTGTGGAACCTTTGCTAATTACGCTCCGTGGGCTCTTTCCCAAACCTTTGGTGACGACATTGAATGTAAACTCCAGGCCAACAGACGACCCCTCCCCTCCCCTCCTCCCCCTTTTTATCTTGCCCGCGGAGGAGACTCCCCAGGACTTCCTGCAGTATATATTCTGCCTCTGATCTCCGTACTTAATAGCCAAGTCCTGGTTTATGCTTTATAATGTGTTGACAAGTTTTCTAACAGACTTTCTGAAATAATGCACATATATTCACGTCGGTTAGAAACCCACCGTATTTTTAGAGTCGAGTAGATCTATACCCTAATGCAGTGAGAGAGTGTAAATCATAGAGGATTTCATAGTCCTTTCAGTAGTTTTCGGTATGAAGTATGAGCCGCGTGGCCTCCAGACGTAACCTTTTAGAAAAAAAGACAGTGCTTTTATTTTATGGTGTAAAGTGCTTTTAGCTCCAGGGCTCTGAACGTGAATGTGGTCAACAAACAGCTCCAAGAGGGAGAGTTACAGTCCCAGCCCTCGTGCGGAGGATCGCCTGGCACGGGGGACTCGGGCAGAGCTGGAGAATGAAGGGTTAAAGGTCTGTCTCGATGGAAACTACAAGATTAAAATAAAATATTCACTGTCTGCCTTTAGGGGGAAACACCTTTATAGGCTTAAAGATAAATAAATGAATGACTGAATGGTTAGAAAATTGTTACCGTCAGTCCCACCTTACTTTTGACTTCATTCTTTCTTTTTTCTTTTTTGTTTTCTCTTCTTTCTTTCTTTCTTTTTCTTTCTTTCCTTCTTTCTCTCTTTCTTTCTTTCTTTCTTTCTTTCTTTCTTTCTTTCTTTCTTTCTTTCTTTCTTTCTCTTCTTCTTCTTCTTATTTTTATTCTTCTTTTTTTGTCCTAATAGCAGTTCAGAAAATAGAGAATGGGCAGTCATCTTCATAAAAATAAAATTTGGGTTTAGATTCTATACTTGACATAGGCTTTGCATTTGGGATTCTTGACGGTGGGAGTGCTAGGGTGTCTTTAAGACAAAGGAAAAATTAATTTTAAAAAAAGGGATTGGGTGTGAGAAAGGGGGTGGGCATTATGGGGGCACCCTAAAGAGAAAGGTGAAAAGAAGGGCCATGGACCCCTCCTCTTCCCAGCCTCCCTCAGCCTCCACCTCTCTATAACATTTCTTCCCCCTCTCCTGCCACTGTGATCCAGAGCTGAGGACCTAAGGAGGCCCTGGGGTGGG